TGTTCGGAGATTTCTTGGGGAAAGTCTTCGATGATTTCTTCACGAATAAAGTCATTCAGTTCCTAGCGAAATCAAATTAAAGCACGAAATGAGCATAACTCCATGATTCAATACAGCTGTTTAAGAACAAAGCCAAATGAGCATAACATAGTTCAATGCGGACAACAACACAATGCCCAATAATAAGCATACACAAGTATTACCTCAGCTCCTTCTAAAATGTCTATCGGACCCCAATCTTCCAGTACCTCTGGAGGAATGCAAACGCTCTCYTATTAAGATATTGTAAAGTAAAAGTTAATTTCTTATAAAGTTACATGCCACACGTTATTCGAGAAACTTACGAATTCTTCTTCCCAATCGTTCCACGGTTCGAAGATTTCTGGCGGTATTTCTTCCTAAAAGAATAGTAGTCCAATGTTGATAGGAATTCTAGATTGTATCTGCAAAGAGTAGATACCGATACTAACAAATTTTGTTGAAATAAAACAACATCGCTTTACGGCCTATTCAAAAATTACGTATTTGGTAGAACTGCTTAGTAGCGAAAAACTACTGATATTGATAAACCTCGCAAGGCTATGGGTTTAGAGAACTTCTGGCTCAGTCACTTAGTTTCTTTTAGCTTCAAGTATATAATATGAAAATGGAATCASATTGAAACTTACGATTTGTGGTTCTTGGAATTCCTTCTCAGGAAAAACACTTTTAAAAAAAGCTTCCTGGTCAAAACTTTCCTCCTGAACTTGGATGTCGAGTTCCGGGATCTCTCCTTCTGATACAAATTTATCCAAGTCAAAAGAACTATTAGAAGCGAGTCCAAATTCCGCGAGTTCGTCCTCCGTCCAGTCACCAAACTAAAATTAAGAAGAAAAAAGGAATTAAATTGGAGCATATAAAATTAAAACGCTCGAGAAAAGTAATAGCATTTACGAAGAAAAAATACTTACCAAAGCATTGAAGTCCAGATCTTCGGAATCAAAGTAAAATTGAGCCATCGTAAAATTTTGAAATAGAAAATTTCAAGTAGAAAATCACTAGCTAATTCACTGCTCAAGAAGTTAGCTCGAAATGAGTGAGGGACGCTAAAAAGTAGGGTAAAAAAGACCTTGTGACTGTGTTGGAAAAAAAAAGATGACGTTGGTCTTCATTGTTTTTGGTAAGGCGTGCTCAGGCAGAAATCAATTACTTTTTGTTGGTAAGTAAATTATCAAACTTGTTGGTAAAATAATCATAAAGCACTAATTTAATTACCATTGCGGCTTAAGCAAATTTTTGAATAATGAGGTAGAACTCTTGTTGGTCTTATTGTTTATCATCAAAGGGTTTCTTAATTGCATTGTATTGGTGAAAGTAGAAGTCGCATCAGTATTCATATAATCACTGAAGTTTACAAGATAGTGCATGGCTTACCGGAAAGGTTGTACCACAAGCGCAGGTACTTGGTAAACCCGATAACGGTATATTATAACGCAGACAAAGAGAATCTCTGAATTCTTGTTTATTCAAAGTAAGTCCCTGTTCTTTAATTRGTATCGCATTGAGCCATGAGCTTGCTCCTTTGTCTCTTGCTTGGGTTACTTGACGGAGTATGTCAGGTGGTAATGCTGCATCGATTTCATCCATTTTCGATTTAGATATTTCAGCTTTTAGTGATTGATGTTGTTTTTTCACATCTTCTGTGGTCGTATACATCGTTTTGCTCTGCGTTTTAATAGCCTCAGTGTGTGAAGCTGTTATTAGAASTGATGCCGCATATTGCTGTGGAGCCTCTTCTTTTAGTGCAGGCATCCCTAAGCCTCCTTCCGCAGGGGATAAGGTAAAAAGCCTACTCAGCTCTTCAGGTAGTGGTTCCTTTTGACCAAAAAGCGTTGGAAGAAGCATTTCATTTATCACATTATCAACAGGATCAGTATAGTCCTCAAAAGATTCAATTGTTCGCATGAAGTATGTAAACTTGGATTTGTATCCCTTTGTAAATGCGATATAGGCCGATTGTGGCTGGCACCTTGCAATCTCTGAGAGGGTTTGTAATTCTTCTTTCCACTTGAAGATTTTCTCGTTGCAAAATTGGTCTTTATAAATCTTTGATCCAATAACAGCTCCAAGGTGACGTTTGCCTTCGCTTGTGACGTTAACCTCTTCTCCAAATACCTGTTTCGCTTCCAAAGCCAAAGCTTCCGACTTCACGATCAACCAGCTTTTGGACCCATTAACAATATATCCATACTTTTTGCCCTCTTGTTCCAGGCTTTTATACCAATTAAATAAAGAGACAATTCTTCCTGCTCCCGCAGAATCATCAGCTAACCACACCTGCTTTACATCAGGAATAAAAGTTCTTAAAGTTTGAATTATTGTGGATGTATTTACCGAATACCATGGCATGGTTAATGGGTCGCCTTGTGTGGTGCCCTCCTGAGATAGGATCTCTCCACCACCACATATAAATAACCCGGAAGGGCTTCTGTAAGTATTAATTACGTACAAGGATATTTCTTTACAGGTAATCCGGATATTATGCATGGCTACTGACCGGTTCATCTGATTGAAGGCGTTACTTGCATCGATCAGTAGTACTGCATCTGTATCCTCTTCACTAAAGATCTGGCTCATTGCATGAATAGCGGCTTC